CTAGTCTTACTCTGCTAAATTAGGGACGGCTAGCGCAGATAGCCCTCGTGTAGCTTTGCGCGAAATTCATAAAACAAACAAATAAGCGTAGATCGTAACTGATTTTTCAAGAACATGCGTACATAAATACTTAGCAGTTCTTATGTTCCTGTTTTTTTTTAATCATCCTATGTACCATTTCATTGATGGTTTTATTTGCTATAATCGTTCAGACTAATAAACACGTACATGACACTGACAAACACTGGCGACAACATTCACTAATCAGGGAAAGAACGTAGCGTTGAATTCGATAAATATACGACCTTGTTCGAGATTTTATATATTTTTGGTCTATATAAATGCATTTTTATTCCTTCTTGTCTCACCATACTGTTCATCCACGTCCATAACGAAGTTGATTTCCACGGAAAAATTAGATAACGTTTTGAAACAAAGAGATCTCAACATATCTGGTTATCTAAACCAAATCGTTGATAAGAAATGTCACCAGCTGGAGTTGTGGAAGGTGTTTCTAAAACCCAGATTGTTGGTAAGAGATGTTGCCAGGCTGGAGATGTGGGAAGTTATTCTGATAGTCCAAATCGTTGGTAAGGAATGTCATCAGCTCGAGTTGTGGGAAGTGTTTTTTTTTACGGTTTGATGTAAAGTTAGGCTGTCCACTCGCACATTTTTAGTAACTAGGGCGTTCTAGCTTTCAAGCGTCAGCTATCAGGTTGCCCATATTTAAATGGACTACCAACTATCCAATGTAAGAATAACCACTGTTGAGGTGACTGGAAATCTAAAAACAAGCTGGCCGAAGTGTATTTAAATGCTGCATCTGATGCGACCAGAATTATCTAGGCCTCTGATATCGTCATTTTGAAGGCCATCTGTACGTTTTTAATGCAAGTCGAAGTGCAGACTGGCAGGAACTTGTGACATCCTCTGACCCTTTAAAACGCCCTTGAAAAATGCCCTAGATTGCTCCCCAAACCAGGAGTATCTCCTGTGCCAAAGTTTATTGAAACTGGTCCAATAACTGTTTTCTTTTTGTAGTACAAAACGTTAGACAGACAGACATACAAAAGCACAAAAAATCCTGAAGTGAATCCCTGAAACAAAATGCGATAACAACTATGTTTTTGGGATTAGAAATAGAGCGTAACGAACGCGACCACACCGAATCTGTTTGCGTAACCAACATAACTATGTAAGTGTGAGCAAGTGTTCCGAAGTGCTAAGTTCCTATGTTTGTCCTCTCTCTCTGTTCTTTCTGAGTTGAAGATTAAACTTCAGATTATTTTAATTTGAAAGTTATCACTCTGTGCATCCATCTACTTGTTTATCTATTTTTCTCTCAATGCCTTCCACCGGTATCGAAACCCGGTTTTTAGCATTATAAGCTTACAGACATGCCGTTGTGCCACTGGGGGATGTGGTATTAGTTTACTTATCGCTATTTCTATCTGTATATTTTGTCAATATATTTGTTTTAGTTAGGTCTCTTCCGAAATAAATGATAATCTATATATTTCATATGTACAATGCCTTGCAAAAGTATTCATCCCCCCTGCAAAGTTTCCATATTTTGTTGCTGTCTGAGCTTGCAGTCAAGAAACTTTCAAGTGGGACTATATATTTGGAATCTACTCTAAACTGAGAAAGTTAAAAAAAAACGCTGATATTTTGTAAGTTAGATTTTTCAAAAAAAATTAGAATATT